ACATTTGTCCTTCCTTCTTAGTTTTAACTCCTGATTTTTTAAGTTACAAAGAAACCGCTTTCCTTCAAAGATTTGTCAGAGCCTGTAGTGAACAAAACAGGATTTATAAATGGAACTATATGACTATCTAAATGAGCGTACTGTCTAAGAGGAACAAATATGTGGTCTGTCTCTGGCCACCAAGTGGGTGAAAAATTTCTAACTCACAACATGAGATGCATCATACTGCGTCATGACCCAGTCCATCTAGGTCAATGTTCTGTCTCTGACACGGCATCAGGAGACATTTTGGGAGAAGCACTGTTGTTCTTCATGACATTGAAGATACAGTCCACATATTTTTTCATATCTTAATAATAAAAATGAGGGACTTGAAAACCTCTAAGGCACCTTCTGACTCCAAAGCCTCAATAGAAGTATGGAGATAGAATTCATGAATTTCTCTATATCCTTCTTAAAGCTACTTACACATTTTAAGCAATGAGATACACAGCCTTCTATGGTATAAAATAGTATCTTAGGAGTGTTAAGGGACACTAAAGATTTTAGTATTTTGGAGTCTGGTGAATAAATTTATATTAGCTTTCATAACAATATAAGACTAAATTGAGTCAAATTCAACATTCTGTTTCCAAAGAGTATGGAAGATCATAGTGTCCCTGAAGATGCCAACTTCAAGTTGTTCTGAACATGCTATAATATATTCCTGGGTTTCTTCATAATTTAAGAACTCTGTTCCAATCTTTCATCAGCCTTTATCTTTATAGACTGAAGAGTTCAAATTATTCAAGTCAGTAACATTTATTCTAAATTCTTTTTTTTTTTTTATTTTTTATTTTTTTTTTCAACGTTTATTTATTTTTGGGACAGAGAGAGACAGGGCATGAACGGGGAAGGGGCAGAGAGAGAGGGAGACACAGAATCGGAAACAGGCTCCAGGCTCCGAGCCATCAGTCCAGAGCCTGACGCGGGGCTCGAACTCACGGGCCGCGAGATCGTGACCTGGCTGAAGTCGGACGCTCAACCGACTGCGCCACACAGGCGCCCCTCTAAATTCTTAAATGAGACAGACTTCCCTACAAAATTTTCCCAGTCTTATGCTTACAATTTTAATTTTCACCACTTTTTATAAATAAGACATTTCCTATCTAGGAAACTTTCACTACAGTAGCAGTTGACTGACTCAGAACTGCAAAACATTAGAACTAAAGGGAACTAAGAGTTTAATTGCAACTTTCTACTTTACCAATGAGGAAACTGAGACTTAGTGTTGATAAGAGACTTTCCTATAGTGAAACAACTAAAAACCTAAGCTGGATACAACAAAACAGTACTTAAAAAAAATTTTTTTTTAATGTTTATTCATTTTTGAGAGACAGAATAAAGCATGAGCTGGAGGGGGGCTGAAAGAGAGGGAGACAGAATCCAAAGCAGGCTCTAGGCTCTGAGCTGTCAGCATAGAGCACAATGTGAGGCTTGAACTCACTGACCACTAGATCATGACCTGAGTCAAAGTCAGATGCTTAACCGACTGAGCCACCCAGGCGCTCCAAGAGTACTTTTAAAACTGCATATTAGAATTTTAAAACTGCATATTAGAATTGACCAACCAATTAAGTGGATTGCTATCAGCATTTAAAAACAAAAACAAAAAAAAGCAACAGAGTAGGAGCACCTGAATGGCTCATGCAACTGGGCTTCTGCCTCTTGACTTCAGTGCAGGTCATGATTCCGAGGTCATGGAATGGAGCCTGCATTTGCTTCTGCCCTGACAGCACAGCCTGCTTGGGATTCTCTTTCTCCCTTTCTCTCTACCCCTCCCCTGCTTGTTCTCTTTCTCGCAAAATAAATAAATAAACGTTAAAAGGAAAAAAGCAATAGAGTAGAAAGTATCGGGCTGTTCAAGTAATGAGGATAAATATCATTTTATAAAACTTTGTTTCAGTTACATGTGTATTGAATCATAACATAAAATACACTTATAGTGGTCAAAAATTTTTGAAATCATTGCAATAAAATACTCAATTCTTTGAGTGGATTTAAAATTTTGCTCTTATTTTTAAAATTTAAAATTGCTTAATAATTATTAATATCAAAATAAAATCAACAATAAAACAATTATGATTATGATTTAATTATGAAGGTGATGCAAGTTATTATGATGATGGCTTACTTTAAGCTAATTAAAAACATCTCTGCCATACTAAATGCTGCCATTTAAAAGAAACCATTTTTCCCCTTTAAAGGAGATAGGTTTTGAAGTGTTATACCCCATACTATATGCGAAGAGACTTTCTTTAAAAGTCATATTTCTGGGGGCGCCTGGGTGGCTCAGTCGGTTGAGCAGCCGACTTCAGCTCAGGTCATGATCTCGCAGCCCGTGAGTTCGAGCCCCGCGTCGAGCTCTGTGCTGACAGCTCAGAGCCTGGAGCCTGTTTCGGATTCTGTGTCTCCCTCTCTCTGACCCTCTCCCGTTCATGCTCTGTCTCTCTCTGTCTCAAAAATAAATAAACGTTAAAAAAAGAAAATTAAAAAAAAAGTCACATTTCTGTAGAGCTTATATGTGCAACAGCTAGAAAAGCTCTTTAAAATAATATGAATTCTAGAATTTTGATCATTAGAACACATAAAATATAATAAACATCCTCTGAAGACACAGTGACCTCTAGTGGATTCATGAAATAAACCGACATAATTCATGCCCATAAGAATTTATAAATTAAAGTAACATGCAACCAAATATAAAAGACACTAATATGATTATATACTGACAAGTATTACACATAAATAAGGGCTACAGTTAATACTATGTACATTGTGACAAATGTTTATTTACAGATTATTGGTTACTTCAAATCAAAGAGAAATATAATAGAATCCTAGCAACGTTCAGAACCTATCACAAGCTTAAGAAATATATTTAATTTTTCTGAGATTGTTTGATAAAGATGTTAGATTAAATTGTTTCTAAGGACCTTTCAGCTCTTTAATTATGATCCTTTCTTCTTTAACTCATCTTGTACATCAATGTCAGATCAAATTCTGTTCAAGTGTTTGATGGCTCCCTAATACTTGTCCCCATTAGAATAAGTACAAATTTGTTTCACTTGTATATTTATTATGCCATCCAATTAAAATTTCAATTTAAACTCATAGGTTGAGTTTCATTAAGTGTGTGTGTGTGCTCGTACAGGTATGGACAGCCTGCCAGTACTAAGCACTTACTACAAACATTGCATGTAAATTAAAATGATTTTTTGAGGGAAACCAAAGCCATTTTCATTTTTCTTTTTTGGTGAGGTAGGGAAGGGCATATAGATAAGGTAGAATTTCAAGAACTACAAACAAAGTGACAGACCTTCATGTTCTAGGAAAGGTGGGTATTATGAACATATTAGAATAAGATTTTAGAAAAAGGTTAGAGAGAAGAACTATTTTCAATTAGCTAAAGCAAGTACCAATAACTACATCTGAAGAATATAAAGATGACAGGAAGGGTAGTTTGGTAAATGGTTTTGAAGCAGGGATGAGGATGAGCTAAAGTAGCAAGTAGAGAAGATATCACTGGAAACAAAGTTAGGGATAACTTAAGGAAACCGTGGTCTTAACAGCTGGGGAATAGAATACAGCAATATGTGTAGCTGTCATAAGGTTGAAAAGGCGATGAGCAGATCTAGCCAAAGAAATGCTAGGAAAGGAGAAAAAAGGGATGCCTGGGTGGCTTAGTCAGTTGAGTGTCTGACTCCTGATGATCTCAGGAGTCATGATCTCAGGGTCATGAGATCAAGCCACATGTCAGGCTCCACACTCATCAGTGAAGTGTGCTTCATATTCTTTCTCTCCCTCTCTCTCTCTGCCCCTCTCCCCACTTGTGCTCTCTTTCTCTAAAGGAGAGTAAAAGAGACAAAAAGTGATAGTTAAGAAAGTGCTCGTAGCTCCCCATTCACCTTGGACAATGCTACAACCTTTATTCTTCAAATAAGAAAGGCTAGTGGAGAAATAGTGAACAATTTAGTCTTCACTATGTGTAATACAATTAACAAAGGCTATAGGGTGGTATGTTTTACATATTCTAAACCACACAGCATTGGATCTGCAGGCAAAGTTGTCAGCCAACAAAGGGACTGTCAGCAGTACAAATGATGCTAGTTCAAACTACAGTGGTTTCATACTACCTTGTGCATCAGATAAGACTTTAATAAGAGGTTTTTTTTTTTTTAAGGCAAATATCTTTAGTTACCTTGCATCACATTACATTTATGTCACTAAGTTTATTTAGCACTGATACTATTTTACCACAAATAACACTGCCTTGTGTTATAATATTCTTTATGAAGCATGAGTTGAGACCTTATCTCATTTAAGCTTGTCTGAATTTAGACAATACAGTTTGATTACATAACAATTTTTGTTACCTTTACTGTATTATGGCATTTGTCCCTCAATAATAAATTTTCTCTCAAATTCAGCAACTACTAAAATGTTGTAAATGTTTAAACATCTCCCAAATGGCAAACCCCAGGAATATTCATAAACATTTTGCTAAAAATTAAATTGGATTTCTTTAAATTTATAAAATACTGTACTGATTTTTAATAAAGATTGAATGAATTAGTTACCTGAACTTTTTAACCTTAGTACATAGTTTTCTAACAACAAAACAAGTTCAGTGGATCCTCAGTTTTAGTATCCTGAAAAACTTTAACATTTTTACTCTAGAATTATAATATTAATAGGGTTAATAGAAATAACTTGCATAGCAGAAAGCAAAGTTCAGGTGTTGTGATTAAAACAACAAAGAAACAACTTTTATATTTACTTTCTGATTTTAAGTGTAAAATCCTTAATAACTAAGCTAAATATATAACCATTTCTCCACAATGAAAATGTGTATGATGGTAACATTCTTAGGAAACTACAACTACTCTCTATACATCCCAAAAAGTAGAAAGAAATTATTGGAATATATGAACAAATGTATATGTAATGATTTAAATTACCTTTCCTCTTCTCGAACCCATACTGGAGTTTTAGGAATTTGTGCTTCAAAAAACTTAGATGCTTTGTAACAAAAATTGCTGCAAAAACACTGAAAAACATTTTAAAATCAGAAAATTATTTTTTTCTTACTGTGAAACACAACTAACTTATGTACAGAAGAGAGTATAAAACATAAACATGTAGTTCAAAGAAAATAATGAAAACCTATGAATCTACCAACCAAGGTAAGAATAATGTATAGTACCTTCGAAGCTCTATTATGTGTCCATGCTGGATAGCATCACTTTTGACATTCCCCAGAGGTAAACACTATCATATTCTGTGTTCCTTATTCCCTTGCTTTCCTTTAGTTTTGCTATCTATAGAAACATCCCTACAAAAGATACCATTTAGTTTCAACCAATTTTAAACTTTGTCTGAATGTAATCATACTGTTATGTTCTCTGAGTTTTTTGTTCCAAGTTATAGTTTTCAGATTTTTGTAGTTGTGGCTTATATATACATTACATTCAATTGTGTAAGTATATTACCATTTATTTATTATGAATAATTGAGTTGTTTCTAACTTTTCTGCTATCTCTACAATGTGACTATAAGCACTTCAATAATTTATTTTTTTTATTTTTATTTTTTCAACGTTTATTTATTTTTGGGACAGAGAGAGACAGAGCATGAACGGGGGAGGGGCAGAGAGAGAGGGAGACACAGAATCGGAAACAGGCTCCAGGCTCTGAGCCATTAGCCCAGAGCCCGACGCGGGGCTCGAACTCACGGACCGCGAGATCGTGACCTGGCTGAAGTCGGACGCTTAACCGACTGCGCCACCCAGGCGCCCCAAGAATTTTTAAAATTAAAAAAAATTGTGGTCAAATACACCAAAATTTACCATCTAAATTGTTTTTAAGTGTTACAGTTCAGCGGCATTAAACACCTTCTCACTGTAGTACAACCATTACCATGATCCATCTCTAGAACTCTTTTTATCTTGCAAAACTGAAACTGTACACCCATTAGACAATAACTCATTTCTGCCTCCTCTTATAATCTCCATTCTACATTCATAACTATGTATCTGACTACTCTAGTTACCTCATGTAAGTGGGATCATTTAATATTTGTCCTTTTGTGCAGGCTTATTTCACTTAGCATCATGTCTTCAATGTTTATCCATGTTGTAGCATGTGTCAGTATTTCCTTCCTTAAAAAGGTTGAATGATAGTATATCATATATTTTGTTAATCCAACTAGGAAGAAATGGGCAAGAAATTCTTTAAAATATATACCAAGAATAGAAAAGCCTGGTCATAAAAAATGTGTGAACTTGACTTTACTAGATAATACCAAAGAAGTTCTCAAAAAAGTTGCACCAATTTTATTTAACCAGCAGTTAAAGAGTTTCTAATATTGTCAAATTTTTATAATTTTGCTAATTTGGAGACTGTAAATCAATGTTTTTATTTGCTTTTCCCCTGATTAATAAGGCTGAGCATCTTTTCATATTTCATTATCAAGTTCCTTCTATAAAATTTCTACAAGGTTTTCTGTCTTTTCCTGGTTATGAATCTTTAGTCAGTTATATGTGAGAAATACATTTCCTTCTAATTTATCTCATCTTTTCACTCTTTTGTGGAAACTTCCTATAAGCAAATGTTTTTAATTTTAATGTAGAAAACATCAATTTTTCCTCTATGGTCTGTAATATTTCTATCTTATTTAAGAAATTCTCTGAGTTTATAAAGATACTTTCCCATATTCTCTTCAAAAAGATGTTTATCTTTTAAATTTAAGTCTGTAGCCTACCTAAAATTGATTTTTTTTATGTACACTGAAATAAGGATCAATTTCCATTTTTTTCCATATGGATAAGTACTTCTGTCAGTACTATTTTTTAAAAAAATTCATCCTTTCTCTACTGATCTACAATACTCCTGTTGTCACATATAGTGTCCTCATATGTGGTTAATCTGTTTCTGGCTCTCTATTCTATTCCATGACTTACTTGCCTGAATTTGTGCCGGTATACACTTTTAATTTTTAAACGTCCAAATATTAATTAAAGCATAAGCAGTTTTTTCTAACACCTTGAAGGCAATATTCACAAATAAACTTTTAACATGACAACCATCTAAAAGGCAAACTTCTAAACAATTATTTTTAGAATTCCATTTAGTGTATTAAAAATTAACTGCCACATTGAAAAAAGCCTTTAAGCTTACCTTTCTTTCAGTAATATCATAGACTTTATTGGTTTTGGTAGAAATCTTATACTTCTGTTTTGGTACCTAAAGAAAAGAAAGTACAGCTTAAGAAGAATTCAAGTAATAAACATAAACTTTGTTGTAAGATTAAATCATCTACAAATCTTTGGTTATTTCAGGTAATTAGTTCATGACCTCAGTTCCATTTCTTGTACTATCTACAAAGAACTTTGTTAAATATAAAAAATTAAAGCTTCTATTTTACTTTATTATACTTTATTTTTTTTATTTCAGAGAGAGAGAGAGCATGTGAGCAGGGGAGCCTGATGAGGGGCTTAATCCCACAACCCACCCAACCAATTGAGCCACCCAAGTGCCCCCTAAAGCTTCTATTTAAAAAAATTACTTACAAGTCCTAGTTTTTTCTGACATAAAGGATAACCGCAGAGCTTGATAATAGAACGCTCATCCACGACATCGCTGTAGTGAGCAGGTGTGATGACCTTCCCCTATAATGAAATGAGAGGGGCATTCCCCCACTAGATTATTAGAAAAGTTCATTTATCAGCTCTCTAAGCCTCACAGAGCTCATCTGAAAATTCCGGGATAATAACAGTCTATCTTATAAATATGATGTTAGAATAAGAGGAGAAAATAAAGGTAATAAACGTAGAAAAACATTTGACAAACAGTAAGCACTCAAAAATGTTAGCTATTAAAAAAACAAACAAAAATAGCCCCAAAAAACTTCTGTCTCAGGAGACTGAATCGTTGTAGGTAAGTACTTCATGAAGTAATTCTGAGGCAGGAAAAAGAATTGGTGCTATAGTCATTGCTATACCAAAGCAAAATATTGAAAAGTTTATTTTATTTAAAAAAATATTAAAAAATAAACCATGGAAAATAAAATATAATTTACCTATTTTTGAAGCACAGTCTTAAAAAACAAAGTGTATCAAACGTGTCATTGTGATTCCTGACAAATTTTTGTGCAAAATTTTCCAGTTTCTGAAAAATGTGTATAGGAGACTGGTGAGATGGTACTTATAAGCTAACACCAAATACTTTCTTTGATATCTTCACGTTCAAATCTCAACTCTTGTTTCATAACTTTGAGATCACTTTTGAACAAGTTTTTCTGTTTTCTCAGGGACTGAACAACTTTTTATTGAGAGTGATATAAGGTATTTGCTTCAAATGAAGCATTTCTGGTTTGTCTTTGTTTTTAGTGGCCTCATGCATGCAGATTCTGATGTAGTTACATGTATCAATTTAAATACTGTCACATTAGAGGGAAGGAGTCAAGATGGCTGAGCAGGAGGGGGATCCTATGCTTACCACATCCCTGGAACACAGCTAGATAAATATCAAATCATTCTTAACACCCAGGAAATCGATCTTAGGACCGAGAGAATAAGATGCACAGCTAGGGGGAGAAAAGAGGACATATTGTGGAAGGCAGGAAGGGCAAAGATGTGATTTGGGAGAGAAAATAATCAGTGGTGTTGTAGAAAGGAGAGAGCCCTAATTAGGAGAAAGGAGAGAAAGAGAGGGAATGAGCAGGATGCAGGGCATTGCACAAGGAAAACATTTTGCCAAAACCCCTGATGGGGAAAAAGAGAGGGGCTGATTATCCCAAGTTTTTACAAGCAGTGGAGCTCAAAGTCTGGTTTTAGAAGTCTGACCCATCACTGGGGTGGAGGCTGTAGGGCACAACGGTGCTCCTGTGGAGAAGGAGGGCAGAGGCCAGGGAGCAGAGAGCATGGTCTGAGGATGCCCTGGGTTGTACAGGCAGAGACAGTTTCCCCTCTTGGAGTGCATTTGGGAGAGGTAGCACTGCCTCTCCAGGGACAAGAGGGCCGGCAGGTACCACTGAGCTGCCCCATTCATTAGGATAGGAACAGAGACAGCTGTGGAGGGCAGCTAACCTGGACAGTGGCTTTTTGCTGTGTTTTACCATAAACTTCAAGCCCAGTGAATTTGTGCCACTGCCCTTCTGGGACAAACTGGCACCAGCCCTAGTGTTGTGAGACCCTTCCCCAGAGGATCAGAGTAGGTCCATGCCACACTGGGTGCATAAAATATGGAATTTTGAAACCTAGCCATCGCACCTGAGATAAACCATAGTAGCACTGCACCACCAGATGGGCAGATGAGTCGGACACAGACAGGGTGAAGGAAGAGATCTGAGGAATGCTTGGGACAAATGACGGGAGATTGTTTGCTCTTCTGTGAGCACTTCCTGAACAGTGGTGGGTACAAACTCCCCTCTCTGGGGACTAGAGAGCCAGCTGATGCCATTTAGCATGGATGGACTTCAGTGAGCAGTAAAGAGCCCACAGTAGAGGCTTGAGCTGCTTACACCAAGTCCTGTCCTCCCTGAGCTCTTCAGGTGCTTCTGAACTAGGGTCATTATGTCTGAGAGTCAGAGCAGCAGCAGGCCACCCTCCCAGAAGACCAGCACAACGGTCCTCCACACCCACCAAGTCCACTAACCACAGAATGCTGCAAAGTGTCAGCTCTAGGGGAAACAGGATCTATACTCTTAATAAACTGACCAAAACACAAATACTTAAAACTAATCACACAGTGGACAAGGTACAAACACTCCCCATTACAGACAAGGAGAAATTCTGCAGAGGACAGAAAGAGCACCCAAAACACAATGGCAGAGTGCACACAGCATACACCAGAAACACTTCCTGAAGTGCTAGGCCCTGGACAGTATATGACCTCTTCTTAATACACACACCTATTACTGTTAGAAGCAGGACATATAACAGGCTTTCCTAACACAGAGAAGACAGAGACCTAGACAAAATGCCAAGATGGAAAAATTCATCCCAGAAGAAAGAACAAGAAGAGGTCATGGCCAGGGATCTAATCAAAACAGATATAAGTAATATACCTGAACCAGAATTTATTTTTTTTTTTTAATTTTTTTTTTCAACGTTTATTTTTTTGGGACAGAGAGAGACAGAGCATGAACGGGGGAGGGGCAGAGAGAGGGAGACACAGAATCGGAAACAGGCTCCAGGCTCTGAGCCATCAGCCCAGAGCCTGACGCGGGGCTCGAACTCACGGACCGCGAGATCGTGACCTGGCTGAAGTCGGATGCTTAACCGACTGTGTCACCCAGGCGCACCATAGAATTTAAAACAATAATCATAAGAATACTAGCTGGGCTTGAGGCAGCATAGAAGACACCAGGGAGTCCCTTACCGCAGAGATAAAAGAGCTAAAAATTAGGCCGAAATAAGAAATGCTATAACTGAGATACAAAACTGACTGGTATAATGAACACAAGGATGGAAGAATCAGAGGAACAAATAAGTGATATAGAAGATAAAATTATGGAAAATAATGAGGCTGAAACGAAGAGGGAAAGGAAAATACTGGATCAGGAATGTAGACTTAGTGAATTCAGTGACCCCATAAAGCATAGTAACATTAGTATCACAGGAGTCCCAAAAGAAGAGAGGAGAAAAAGGAAAAGAAAGTTTATTTGACCAAATTACAGCTGAAAACTTCGCTAATCTGGGGAAAGAAACAGACATCCAAGACCAGGAGCTATAGAGAACCCCCATCGAAATCAACAAAAGCAGGCCAACACTAAGACTACTGTAGTAAAATTGGCAAAGTACAGACATAAGCAAAGAATCCTGAAAGCAAGGAAAAGAAATTCCTAACCTAAGAGGGAAGACAAATAAGGTTAGCAGCAGATCTCTCCACAGAACCTTGGCAGGCCAGAAGGGAGTGACATGATATATTCAACATGCTGAATGGGAAAAGAGCAGCCAAGAATACTTTATCCAGCAAGGCTGTCAACCAGAAAAGGAGAGATAAAGAGTTTCCCAGACACACAAAAACTAAAGGAGTTCATGACCACTAAACCAGCCCTGCAAGATATATTAAATGGGGCTTTTTTGAGTGGGAAAGAAATACAAAAAGCAACAAAGACTAGAAAGGAACAGAGAACATCACCAGAAATATAACTTTACAAATAATACAATGGCACTAAATCAAATCTATCAATAATCTCTCTGAATATAAATGGACTAAATGCTCCAATCAAAAGACAGTATTAGAATGGATAAAAAACAAAACCTATCTATATGCTAGCTACAAGATACCCATTTTAGACTTAAAGACACTTGCAGATTGAAAGTAAGGGGATGAAGAACCATTTATCATGACTTGCTAATGGATGTCAAAAGAAAGCTGGAGTAGCCATACTAGATAAACTAGATTTTAAACCAAAGACAGTAACAAGAGATGACGAAGAGCACTGTATCATAATAAAAGGGTCTACCCAACAAGATCTAATAATTGTAAATAATTATGTCCCCAACTTAAAGCACCCAAATATATTAGCCAAATAATAACAAACATAAAGAAACTCAGTGGTAACAATACAATAAGAGTAGGGAACTTTAACCCCCCACTTACATCAATGGACAGATCATCTAAGTAGAAAATCAACAAGGAAACAATGGCTTTGAATGACACATTGGACCAGGTGGACTTAACAGATACATTCACAACATTTCATCCTAAAGCAGCAGAATACACTTTCATTTGGGTGCACATAAAAGATCTTCAGAATATATCACATACTGGGTCACAAATCAGCTCTCAACAAGTAAAAAGAGATCGAGATCACTCCATGCGTATTTGCAAACCACAATGCTAGGAAACTTGAAAGCGACCAAAAGAAAAAAATTTGGAAGGACCACAAATACACAGAGGTTAAAGCACATCCTACTAAACAATAAATTGAATAACCAGGAATGAAAGAAAGAATAAAAAAAATACATGGAAGCTCAGGGAGCCTGGGTGGCTCAGTCAGTTGAGCGTTCAATTCTTGACTTCAGCACAGGTCATGATCTCAGGGTTAGTGAGTCTGAGCCCCACATCAGGCTCTGCGATGACAACATGGACCCTGCTGTCTCCCTCTTTCTCTAACCCTCCCACATTTGCTATCTCTCTCTCAAAATAAATAAAAATAAACCTTAAAAAAACATGGAAGCAAATGAAAATGAAAACATAACAGTCTAATACCTTTGGGATGCAGCAAAAGCGGCCATAAGAGGAATATATCGCCATGTAGGCCTACCTCAAGAAACAAGAAAATTCTCAAATACACAATCTAACCTTACACCTAAAGGAGCTAGAAGAGCAACAGCAAATAAAAGCCAAAAGCCAGCAGAAGCGAAATAATAAAGATTGGGGCAGAAATAAATGATACAGAAACAAAACAAAACAAAAAAACCCAGTAGAGCAGATAAATGAAAGTAGGAAGATGGTTCTTTGAATGAACTAATAAAACTGATACACCCCTAGCCAGACTTATCAAAAAAAGAAAGGACCCAAATAAATCACAAATGAAAGAGAAGAGATCACAACCAACATCACAGAAACACAAATAATCATAAGAGATTATGAAAAATTATTTGCCAACAAATTGGGCAGCCTGGAAGAAATGGACAAATTCCTAAAACACAAAAACTACCAAAACTGAAATAAGAAGAAACAAAATTGAACAAGCTCACAGCCAGCAAAAAAAAAAAAAAAAAAAAAAAAAAAGCAATCAATAATGAAAAATCTCCCACACACAGAAGTCCAGGGCCAGATGGCTTCCTAGGGGAATTCTACCAGACATTTAAAGACGAGTTAATGCCTATTCTTCTCAAATTGTTCCAAAACAACTTGGAACAGAAATGGAAGGAAATGGAAGGAAAACTTCCAAAATCATTCTACAAGGCCAGCAATACCTTGATTCCAAAACCAGAGAAAGACCCCACTAAAAAGGAGAATTACAGGCCAACAGCCCTGATGAACATGGATGCAAAAATTCTCAACAAGACACTATGAAATCGAATTCAACATAATGTTAAAAGAATTATTTACCACAATTAAGTGGGATTTATTCCTGTGCTGCAGGGTCATTCAAAAGGCACACAGCTAATATTCCTCAATGGGTAAAAACAGAGCTTTTCCTCTATGGTCAGGAAAAACGATGTCCACTCTCAATGCTATTATTTAATATAATACTAGAAGTCCTAGCCTCAGCAATCAGACAACAAAAAGAAATAAAAGGCATCACAAGCAGTAAAGAAGTCAAAATTTCATTATTTGCAGATGACCTGATACTCTATGTAGAAAACCTAAGACTCCACCAAAAAAAAAGCAAGAACTGATACATGAATTCAGGAAACTCACGGGATATAAAATCAATGTACAGAAATGTTGCACTTCTTTTTATTTTTTTTAATGTTTGTTTATTTTTGAGAGAGTATGAGTGGGGGAGGGCCAGAGAGAGAGGGGTTCAGAGAATCTGAAGCCAGCTCTACACTGACAGTAGTGAGCCTGATGCAGAGCTCAAACTCACAAACTGTGAGATCAGGACCTGAGCCAAGGTCAGAGGCTCAACTGACTGAGCCACCCAGGTGTCCCCCCAAATTGACTGCATTTCTATACACCAAAAATGAAGGAGTAGAAAGAGGAATTAAGGAATCAATCCCACTTACAAATGCACAAAATATCATAAGATACCTAGAAATAAGCCTAACCAAAGAGGTAAAAGATTTATACTCTAAAAACTATAGAAAACTTATGAACGAAATTGAAGAGGACACAAAGAAATGGAAAAAGATTCCATGCTCATGGATTGGAAGCACAAATATTGTTAAAATGTTTATACTACTCAAAGCAATCTACACATTTAATGCAATCCCTATCAAAATACCACCAAGATTTTTTAGAGTTCGAACAATCCTAAAATTTGCATGGAACCACAAAAAACCCCAAACAGCCAAAGCAATCTTGAAAACAAAAAGCAAAGCTGGAGGCATCACAATTCTAGACTTTAAGCCACATTACAAAGCTATAGTCATCGAGACAGTATGGTACTGGCACAAAAACAGACATATAGATCAAAGGAACAGAACAGAAAACCAGAAATGGACCCATAACTATATGGTCAACTAATCTTTGCAACTAATCCAATGGAAAAAGGACAGTCTCTTTGACAAATGGTGTTGGGAAAATTGGACAGCAACATTCAGAAGAATGAAACTCAACCACTTCCTTATACCACACACACAAATAAACTCAAAATGGATGAAACACCTAAAATGTGAGACAGGAAACCATCAAAATCCTAGAGGAGAACACAGACAGCAACCTTTTTGACCTCGGCTGGAGCCACTTCTTACTAGACACATCTCCAGAGGCAAGAGAAACAAAAGTAAACATGAACTAGTGGGACTTCATCCAGATAAAAAAGCTTCTGTAAAGCGAAGGAAACAAAACTAAAAGGCAGCCTACAGAATGGGAGAAGATATCTGCAAATAACCTATTTGATAAATAGTAATCAAAATCTATAAAGAGCTTCTCAAACTCAACACCCAAAAAACAAATCATCTAGCGAAGAAATGGGTAGAAGACATGAACTGACATTTTTCCAAAGAAGACATCCAAATGGCTAACAGACACATGCAAAGATGCACAACATCACTCATCATTAGCGAAATACAAATCAAAACTACAAGGAGATACCACCTCATACCTGTCAGAATGGTTAAAATTAATAAGCCAAGAATCAACAGATGTTGGTGAGGATGAAGAGAAAGGGAAACCCTCTTGTATTGTTGGTGGGAACACAAACTGGTACAGCCACCCTGGAAAACAGTATGGAGGTTCCTCGAAAAAGGTAAAAACAGAAGTAGTATGATCCAGCAATTGCACTACTAGGTATTTACCCAAAGGAAACAAAAATACTGCACAAAAAAACAAAATACCTGCATCGTGCACGCCAAGGAATGCAGCTATGAGACGATGCTCAGCTTTGGGAAACGGGGGTCTCAACATTGCTGCTTCGACTGCTGTACAGCCTACCACCAAGAGTCAGGGTGCACTGGCTGGAAGGCTGCAGAGCTTCTCCATGCAGGACCTGCACTCCATCCCTGATGCCCCTGCCCCCTGCCTACCAGCATCCCCTCTACCTGGAGGACCAGGTACCTCACCTCAGGCCGCCCATCAGTTATAGAGCAGGGGGCCTGCAGGACAGCGACACTGAGGATGAGTGTTGGTCAGGTACAGAGGCAGTCTCTCAGCCACCTGCCTGACCCCGAGAGAAGCCTCTGAGCTGCAGCCAGAACCTGCGTGTGGTCAAGAGGAAGCCACCCGTGTGGGAGGGCACTTCGCACTCACTGAGGGTTCAGAAAAGGAAAAAGACCATTTCCTCAGACATGAACAGCGAGGGTCTTCAGAGCCTGGCTCAGTCTTACCTCTTGCCTTGTGGAGCACCGGGGGCTGTTTGGAGGGGACCTCTGGCTGCATGTCTGACCTGCCTGCACCAGCTGCTCAGGCTCTGCCTCCTTGGCTCCTGCTGCTGGCTAAGGGCTGGGTGCTGCCCGGGCCATGCACAGGACTATACCTGTAATGTACCAAAGCAAGCTGGGCCCAGGATTCTATTTATTATCTTTCTCATCCTTCTACCTTCCCAGTGTGTGGGACCAGAGCCCTTCCCAACTGCAACTGAAATCAAAAGTCCCCCCAGCTGTGTTCATTCCTTCCTGTCCTTTAAAGTACTTGACAGCCTCTTCCACGGCCTTTGAGTGTGTGTGTGTGTGTGTGTCCTGGTTGTATGTTTTGTGTTGGTGAATGAGATCAGGTTTATGCAAGTTTTGATAAATAAATACATAAAAGTGAAAAAAAAAAAAAAAAGCACAAGTACCCCAATGTTTATAGCAGCATTATTAACAATAGCCAAATTATGGAAAAAGTCCAAATGACCACCAACTGTTAAATGGGTAAAGAAGATGTGGTGTGTGTGTGTGTGTGTGTATGTATATATATATATATACACACATATATATATAAATAAGTATATATACACATATATGTATATGCATGTACAAAAGAATATTACTCAGCCATCAAAGAGAATTGTATCTTGACATTTGCAACGAAGCAGACAGAGCTAGAGTGTGTTAAGTGAAATGTCAGAAGAGAAACACAAATACCATGATTTAACTCACATGTAAAATTTAAGAAACAAAACAAATGAACACAGGGGAAAGGAATAAAAAAAGAGAAGGAGGCAAACCATAGGAGACTCTTAACTACAGAGAACAAACTGAGTGTCAATGGAGGGAAGGTGGGAAGGGGATGGACTAAATGGGTAATGGATATTAAGGAGGGCACTTGTTATAATCAGCACTGGGTTTATATATAAGTGATGAATCACTAAATTCTACTCCTGAAATCAATATTACATATTAACTAAATAGAATTAAAATAACAACTTGAAACAAACCAAAAGCAACAACAAAAAACAAAGACTATAGTAAAGCACCAGAATTTAAAAAGTATATATATCTTCATATTTATATTCCTCTTATTTAGAAAAATCTCTGAGCCACATTAATAATTATTTTTGCAATGGGAGTTCAGAGTTTTAATTTTCTTTTTAATTTTGCTAAGGATTATGAGGATATAAGAGAAATTTCCATTCAAAATTTTAGTGCAATAAAGTTGTTAAAGAAAAAACTTTTAATGCAGACTGCAATCCTGTTATACGTTAAATCATAAATGATCTATATTCCAAGTTTTTAAAATATCAAAACTAATAGAATTACATTAACAAAAATAACAACCTTCTGTTACTAACATAGGAAACACACAGAATATGGAAAATAACGTTGGGATGATTAGTGCAAAGTGATAAAAATCAAGTGAGATTAGCAGACTTGTTTAAAGAACTACTATTAAGGGGTAAAATATGCATGTTGTTTATCATTAGTGCATTTTAAATTCATTATACAACAAGGAATGCATAATAGTTGATTATTTTAAAATGTATGAGTTATATAGCACACTACCTGCATCTAGTGACTGAGAGGAGAGTCAAAGATTTTGACAATACAAGGAAGTTTCATATTGCACAGATTTAAAGATCTAAAACTACAAAAGTAATAATTTCCCAATTTAACACATACACACTCCCTTAGGAATTCTTCTGTAATATCCTCTTCTAAAAGCTGTTCAACAATATGTAGAGCTTTTCTCTCAAATTCAATCTTCTTTCTCACAGCTGCTTCTAGTTCTGCTTTCCTAAAATTAAATAGAATTAAAACTTAAGTTATTCTACTTACAAGTTTTATCACAGCCAATTTTGTTTTATAATACAGCACAAACATAATGTGCTATTTTGCTACTTAAATTTATATTTTTTAACGCTGCTACCTGTGATGAATATGTCTCAAAAGATTAACACACAGAAGTCTGCCACAGTAACAGGACTATTTGATTTCCAAGCATCAAAGCACAAGGAAGAAAATAGGTGATATCTTTTTGCCAGTTAGCGTTTATATTGTCTCAATCATTCCTGTGGGTATCTAAGAAGACAGGCTTTTCCTCTGAAATCCTTAGAAATCAGGAGAGATATGAGAGGAAACCGACAACTTCAGCTGTTCTTACAAGTAAAAACGTGTGTCAAGTCTCAAAAGTTAACTGATAGCTCAGTTTGACAAGATAGAGTCCTATCTGCAAAGAAGTGTTTTCTTATTTTGCTGTAAAATCTTATTAAATAACTATATTGACGTGACTGTTTGGTTTGTTTCAACTAACTGTGTAGTTGAGGAACACAATCTTCCCAAGAGAGCTGCTCCTTGTCTTGGCACCAGTGGAACTGTCAGCCTTTGCTGGCCCCTACACATCATGGAACATAAAAGCAGAGGCCATTTGATCAAACAACGGCTCTAGGACAGTGGTTCTCAACTCTACTTGCACATGAGGATCATCTGAGAAGATTTCTTTAAAAGATGCCTATGCCTGCGTTCCACTGCAGGTTAATTCAATCAGAATCTCTGAGGATGGGGCCTAGTTATTGGTGTTCTCTTAAAAGTGCTCCAGATAATCCTAATGTGCAAAAGGGTTGAGAATCCTTCCATAGGAACAGAGATATCCAACCATCTTGGTAACTTATTTGCTCCTTTCCTGTACTGTTTTCTCCTTTCCTACCAGAACTACCTTTGCTGGTCTCCTGGGCCTTGATCTAGAATGTATTCATTTTTTCTCCCTATTTTCAGTGACCCCCAAGACTTTAGACTCTAATTCCTTGCCTGGAGCAAAAATATTCTACAAAAACAATAACATTCCACAAGAAAGGAAGATGACATAGGATCAACTATTTCTTTTGCCAAGTAAGGGCATTAAAATAAGAAGAAATTTACAACAGGGGCACCTGGGTTGTTAAACAGTTAAGTGACCAACGTCGGCTCAGGTTGTGATCTCACGGCTTGTGAGTTCTAGCCCTGCGTCCGGCTCTGTGCTGACAGCTCAGAGCCTGGAGCCTGCTTCAGATTCTGTGTCTCCTCCCTCTCTCTCTGCCTCTCCCCCCTTCGTGCTCTAAAATGAATAAATGTTAAAAAAACTTTTTTCTTGTAAAGAAATTTGCAACTAAGAACTGTTCTCCCACCATTTCATAAAGACCATTCTTACATCCAAAAAGTATAAAAGACATGAATATAGACTAAAAGAAAGTTTTCTATATTAAATGTATTTAGCTTTATGAAAAGCATTTTATTTTTCTCATATTGTTGCCTACCAGTAAGAGCAATGCATTGTACTAGGATCAGTCTACAACCTGCACTGAGGAATTGCTGACTCAAGCTGTTACTTATCTAAACCTTCAGTAACAGCCACACTCACTTTTTAAAAAATATTTATTTTTGGGGCGCCTGGGTGGCACAGTCGGTTAAGCGTCCGACTTCAGCCAGGTCACGATCTCACGGTCCGGGAGTTCGAGCCCCGCGTCAGGCTCTGGGCTGATGGCTCGGAGCCTGGAGCCTGTTTCCGATTCTGTGTCTCCCTCTCTCTCTGCCCCTCCCCCATTCATGCTCTGTCTCTCTCTGTCCCAAAAATAAATAAACGTTGAAAAAAAAAATTAAAAAAAAAATATTTATTTTTGAGAGAGACAGAGCATGAGTAGGGGAGGGGCAGAGAGTTTTTTCTCTTACAGCACTTATCACAACTTGTAATTATGCATTCAGTTGTGATAATTTAATTGGTATTTCTCTGTTCCACTAGAAAGGAACTGTGTCTATTCTGCTCAAAACCATATCCTCAGGGCCTAACACAGGTCTGGCATATCTCATACTCGGTAAATAATTTTGAAAGAATGAGTAAATGAAAGCCAATACTTGATAAAAAAGATCAATCACAGACATAAGTATTCTAATCATCTTCATAGACTACTCCTGTTCTAAAAACTTTTTTGTGACAGGAGATAAACCTAGCCTTTTCAGGAAATGCCAAGACACAGAATAAGGCTTTTTGCTGAAGATATGGACATGATGTAAACAAGAATAGAAAAGGTTTCTTGGAAGTCTTTAGCATATAAAGAAATAAAAAGAAAGTGTATCTGAAGAGGTATAAAAGGAGTACCTGGTTAATTTAGGAATGTTTATTCCCTTACAAATCTTTCTGCAGATACTTACACCTACACTAGCAGTATCTTGATTTGGTTTTCTTAAAGCCTGGAGTAGAGGGATACAAAGAGTCTATGGGAGAATTTATAGTTATTCTCAGATCTTCCCCTTCTCTCTCATAATAATTTTCTCTATGGTATCAGCCTTTATTGTTTTTAAAAATAGTTCAATTAACATGAGATCAACAGATAAGAGAATGCAGTTGTCCAAGTAGTTCTCATACCTTTTAGAAGTATCTTCTTGTTTTAAGGCATTTGTCTGTTTAGCACCTACAATTAAAAAAAACAAAAACAAAAACAGTAGGTCATGTCTACTCAAACACACTAGTTTACAGGGCAGATTCTTGCTCAAATAAATCGCAGACAACCTTTTCTTCTTTTCCCACACATTACTTTCTAATCCTGTGTGTAAAACAAATGAAACGGGCAGGAAATCCAGTTTACTTCCGTTAATTATTTCCCAATTTTTCTTGGAGTGTATCTCTTTTGGGATTGAATTTTCTTACGTATCACAGTGACACGGTTACGGGCTCCTGAAAATCTGAGCTATGGGTACTTTTAGAGGCAACCTCTCTCCATCCCCCGAATGTTCGCTCGCAGGAAAAGACCGTGGGTCTGACACCTCAGAGGATCATCCGAGGACCTAAGCAACAGTACATCTCGAAGGTGGGCTGGCGCGAGCGAGGTTCAAAGCCAACTGCACAAGGCCTGCCTACGTTGCCCTGGTCACTTACCCATTCTGGCGACCTAGCTCTAGGCTCCAGCACCTCTACTCCCTCTCCTTCAGAGACAGCCCATTCTGGGGAAAATTCTTGGGACACTAGTGTAAAGAGGTGGGGGTCTGGCCGGAGGTCTTTTGTAGAAGACTCGAGGACAGCGAAGAGACGCTCTCGGCCTTCTCTGCCCTGAAGACCTCCTCCCCTGGAGCAGCCTTTGGGGTGTGCCCCGCGGGTTTTAGTCTGGAACCCTGTAGGGGTTCAACTCCCAGGGTCCAATCGTGGGATGAGGCCCTTCTTCCTACCTGTGGCGTTTCGAGAAGCGCGGGGAGTCCGGGCCTTGAGGCGGGCGGAGCGCGGCCCAGCCGAGTCAGCCATGGGTAGCGTCGTCAGAGGGTCACACCGGGAGCTGGCGTCTCCCGAAGCTCCGCCTCCCCTCGCGTAGCGCTGGGCGGTGCCGGCCGGGGCGGGGCGGGGCCGGCAGAGAGGCCTGGGAGGCCGGAGGAAGTGAAGGAGGGTTCTGAGAGTGGCCAGAGGCCCAGCCGGTAAGTGGACGCACCTGGAAGTCTGGGACGGCCCGGGCTCGCGGCGAGCTGTGAGCGGCAGAGGACCCGGCTCCACGGCCCGCAAGGCCCCGCGAGGTCCTGGGGCCCGAACGCCTAGGCGAGGAGGAATCGGGAGAAATGGCTTCCCTTGGATGCCGCCCGCACGCGCGCTGGGGCTTTATCTGCCCTGGATCGCGCGGCCGTGAAGCCCCGCTGACCCGTGCCCCCATTGCGGGCCTGTCCTTCTCTCCGGGAGGAACGATGGCCTGGGAGAACGGAACGGTGCTCTCCTGAGAGCTGCAGGTTGCCTCGCCTTCGTGCGTTGTACTGATTACATTAACTGGATTATTTGGGGGACTGCCATCTCTTAGAGAAACTCCCTGGTCACACTCGGATCAGGGGGCATCTGAACTTTCACCCACTCTGGGTGAGTTGTGTTGACTACAAGTTTTGTGAAGTGGGACATTAAACAATTTTTTTTTTTTTTAATTCCCTAAGGATTAGAACTGACTTCAGGAACACCTTCTGGAAATTTTTTCAGAAAAGAAATACTTTGCCTTTTTAAGCCATTTACGTAGTCCAAATTTGCGCTCCTGTTGGGTGGGCGTACCCTAGAGAAAAAATCTTTTTTCAAGTGTATCTTTCAAAACTGTGCTCTTAATAGATGCAACAGTTTTACCCCCTTAGGCTAAGATACTTTCAATAAAAACATTTCAGCTTTAAAACTTGACATTTTCCTTATTGTATTTATTAGAAATTCATCAGAATGAAATACAACTTATTAACGCTTTAATATCACTGATAACTTTTATATTTCAGCATCAAAAGTAGGAAAAATAAAGAGGAATGGCTGTGGAAGAACTTCAATCCATAATAAAGAGATGTGTAAGTATTTTGTGTGTGTGTGTGTGTGTGTGTGTGTGTAAAGTTAAATACCTTTTAAAATGTGGGCAAGACACAGATTATTTTTAGTTACATTTAGGGTCATTCAAATTGCTTATCTTCTTTAATCCTTGCTTTGTTTGACCTGTGAATAAATAGCAGGAGGGCCAGAAGGCAGATTAGATTATTCTCCAAGTGACCTACTTGTCTAAGTAACCTTTTAAATTTTTAATACTGATCTTTTTTGTAGAATTATTTGGCAGAGTGGATTTCAAGATCATTCATTATGGTACTCATTAGTCTTGTCCTAATTTTCATACATATGCTTGTGTGCAACTTACCTAGAACTTAAACAGATTTTCTCTTTTTCTCCAGAGAGGATAAAGCAAGTAGTTACTGAATTTTTATTCACTTAAACATGTTTGTTTTGTCTTCATTTTGTTTTTGTCAGCAAATCCTAGAAGAACAAGACTTTAAAGAAGAAGATTTTGGTCTATTTCAGTTAGCAGGCCAAAGATGCATAGATGAAGGGCATATAGAGCAGCTATTAGAAATTATTCAAAATGAAAAGAATAAGGTAAGTACAATCTTTATGAGTACTTTTTAGTATTTATTAGAATGATAATAGCCACATGATGTTATTATTCTTCCACCCATTTACTCATTAAACATTTAAGAATCAACTTAAATTTCTACAATAGGAATGTGGAAAACAAAAAAGAATTAGGGCTATTTATATTCTTGACAGTGTTTATAATAGTCTGGTAGAAGAGATAAACAGGTAAACAACTAGCAGTAAGAAAGAATAAATGAAATAAGTGCTATAGTTGAAGTATGAGTAAAGTGCTTTAAAAAAACAGGGATTGCTTAGAGATCAAAAGTGGCATTTGGATTATTAATTTATATTTTGTATTATAAGTATCAGGCAGCCTAAGATACTCATTTTTGGTGATCAGCACATTCTTTTCTTTCAGCCAGTTGTATATGGAAAACCAAATATTAAGTAAGATAATAGTATTTGGGTGCATAGAATCAGAATAGGGGAAGACTTAAATGGCTTTACTGGCCGTTATCATCCAGCTATAATTATCTGAGAAATCATTCTCAACATAGGAAAAGGATCTTTTTGGGATCAGGAACAACTTTTTCCTGGGACACAGTATTGAAAACACTGCTAAATTTTGTATCCTTGTACTTGCCTTCTTATGCAAGAAAAGACCATCTTCTTTCCAGGAACACACTCTTTCTTCATTTACAGTACTGTTTATTTATGTGGAAGTTTTTTTTGTTGATACCACAAAATAGTTATGCTGGTCTCTGATTATAACCAGGGCACCTTGATGGTGTTTAGGACATTACTAAAACTTTTAAATCATGTATAGTAGTTCAAAGGGCTTATTCCTTTTTTATATAAAAAATTCTTTTTTTAAAAAATTAGGACATTTAATTTAATACATTTTTTTGGATATGTGTTTATAGTACCTTTGTAGCCCCAAATAGAGTAAATGTAATATTTTCTTTAACTCCTTGATTTTTCCCAATTGTGTTTTCGAGGATAATCTTTGAGAGTATTTTACTTAGAGCAAATAATAATAAAATTAACAATAGTTAATACTTATTAAGCATTTACCATGTGCCAGGTGCTGTCTAAAATGCTTGACGTCTGTTAACTCATTTAGCCTCCCAGAATCCCATAGGTACTATTAAATTCAGTTTGTAGATAAGGAAACATGTGACATCCAGTGTTCAGACCTGTGTAGCTTGGTTTCAGAGCTCTTAACCATTCTCTACTTAGCACTGCGTAGCACTTGCAAGGAAGTTTTAGGGGATACAGGGGGCTAATTGATTGTGGGATTGAGAAAGGTAACAAAAATGACTGGATTTCTAGCCTCTGGGAGGATAACATATTATATCCTGAATAGCAAAGGGCAACTTAAGAAGAGGAGAGAATTTCTTGAAGGGGTGCAAGTAAATTTATTTTGGAAATGTTAAGTTTAAGATGTAGCAGGCAGTTGAAAAGTAATGTTTGGAGCTCAGTCAAGAAACAGGAGATTAAAATCCTGATTTGTGCATCACTATTAGAAATTAATTGTAATATTTTTGAGCATAGTCTTTTTTTTAAATTTTTTTTTCAAGTTTATTTATTTTGAGAGACACAGGGACAGCACAAGTGGGAGAGGGGTAGAGAAAGAGGAACACTGAGAATTCCAGGCAGGCTCTGCACTGTCAGCACGGAGACTGGTGCAGGGCTTGAATTCAGGAAACTGTGAGATCATGACCTGAGCCAAAACCAAGAGTCAGATGCTTAACTGACTGAGCCACCCAGGCTCCCCCCCAAAAAAAATTGTTTTAAGACTATTAAGACTCACTATTTTGAGGGAGGGAGAGCTCCTGGTGGCTCAGTCAGTTAAGTGTCTGACTTCAGCTCAGGTCATGATCTCGTGGTTCATGGGTTTGAGCCCTGCGTCGGGCTCTGCGCTGACAGCTCATAGCCTAGAGCCTCCTTCAGATTTGGTGTCTCCCTCTTTCTCTGCCCCTCCTTTGCTCGTGTTGTCTCTCTCTCAAAAATAAATAAACATTAATTTTTTTTTAATTCGCCCACCCATTTTGAGAGAGAGCACACACGTGCATGTGGGGGGAAGGGGCAGAGAGAGAGAGAATCCCAAGCAGGCTCCTCACTGTCAGTGCAAAGCTGATCTCAGGGCCCAAATTCACAATGAGATCATGACCTGAGCCGAAAGCAAGAAGAATCAGGCGATAAACTCACTGAGCCACCCAGGTACCCTTTAATAGTCTTAATAGCTTGAAAATCACCTTTGTAATGTGTGGTCTGCTAAATCCAAGGGTTCAGACATTGATAAGACAAGTGTTTCTTGTTTTGTTCTGTTTTGTTTTATTGAGAGAGAAAAGTTGGGGAAGGGACAGAGGGGGAGAAAGAATCTTAAGCAGCCTCCATGCCCAGCTGGGAGATGCTGTGGGGTTTGATCTTAAAACAGTGAGATAGATTATGACCTGAGCTGAAATTAAGAGTCACATGCTTAACTGACTGAGCCACCCAGGTGCCCCAGTAAGACAGGGTTTCAAACTGACTGCAACTTAATTTTCTTGCCAGGTGATGCAATTAGGATTGATCAAAATTGACTATTAATCTGCTTCGTGTAAATGTTTAAAAAAAAAGTATATGAATACTTTGTCCTATAGTACAGGGCTTCTCAACATTTATACTATAGATATTTTGTAGCACCCTCCCCCTCTCCCCTCCCCCCCCATTCCATAATGACATTCAAAAATGTCTCCAGATATTGCCAAATGTCCCTGGTAGATATGAAACAAAATAGCCCCCATTGAAAACCAGTGGTATAGTGGGAAACACATGGGCTTTGGACCTGGACAGACATATGCATATCTTGGTTTGCCACAATTTAGATGTTAGATATTGGGCATGGCAGTAATCTCTAAACTTTGGCATTCTTATCTGTCATTTGGGGATAACAATCTTATTCTGTAGGTAGTATTAAATTAAAAAAGGTGTAGTTTATGGATAGGATTTATTTTCCTTTCTCATAACCATTCACTATTTTTTTTTTCTTTTTTTTCAACGTTTATTTATTTTTGGGACAGAGAGAGACAGAGCATGAACGGGGGAGGAGCAGAGAGAGAGGGAGACACAGAATCGGAAACAGGCTCCAGGCTCTGAGCCATCAGCCCAGAGCCCGACGCGGGGCTCGAACTCACGGACCGCGAGATCGTGACCTGGCTGAAGTCGGACACTTAACCGACTGCGCCACCCAGGCGCCCCTGAGATGATGTTTATAAAACATTTTATCAAAATTATTTTTTTTCAGTCCAGATATGTAACATCTTACTCAAAACTGAAATTTCCTTGATAATTATTCCCAGAGAATCACTTACAGGGTAGAGGTAGACCAATGGAAAGGGAAAGAAGTACATAGTTGGAAAAGTAGAAGTCTCACAGGAACCAGTTAAGTTTTAAAAAGCGAGTATAGTCATGGTAAGTAATGGTGGAAT